TGAAGATATTTACATGTACAAATATTTAAGAAGGAATATTCTAATATGTTCTCATTTTGTTGTTTGCTGCCTCATTGGCTTAAGTGTTATGTCAGTTGGAGAGAGTAAGTTGATACTCTGTCTACCAGTAATCATAATTCTGTCAACATATCCCTTTCTTCACCAGATAACATGAAATGTTAAGGCTTGTGCTCTGTTATAGAATATCTGAAGAAGTAAATGTACAGAATTACTATTCCATTGAACAGTATCATTCTGATACAGTACAAAAATTTCATACTCTTCATGGACTTGTAGCTTTGGCATATGAATCTTTGAGCAAAAAGGCATGGTGAGTTTCTACCACAAAATGCTACAGGCAAGCAATGTGGGTTTGTTACTACAAATATATTTTTTAATCACATCATTAACTTCTTAAATAAGCTGATAGAGCATTGATGCTCTACTGGTTTTTCCTGCTGAGCTCAATATTGTAAAAGCAACATTTTAAAAAATCATTCTGATTTCAGTTTTATTGTGTCAAAGAAGTGAGTAAGCCAGATACTGAAGCTTACATCATACAGAATAAGGTAATCTTTCTGTTCCATTCCTGATTCTATTTATATTCAAATCAGTGGAATATATTAATATAGTTGATGTACAGAGCTAGTTTGGTGGAGTTGTTAAGGCATCAGGCTAGAAACCAGGAGAATGTGAGTTCTAGTCCTGTCTTAGGCACAAAGCCAGCTGGGTAACCTTGGGCCAGTCACTCTGTATCAGCCCTGGGAAGGAGGCAATGGCAAACCACTTCTGAAAATCTTGCCAAGAGAACTGCAGGGACTAGTCCAGGCGGTTGCCAGGAATCAAAATTGACTCAAAGGCGTGTGCATGCGCGCGCGCACACACACACACACACAGACCCAAACTGTCTCTTTTGACATATTTGTGTATGTGTATGTGCAACTTACTTTCAAAATTACTTTGACAGTGTTGAACACAGGTTCAGATTCAATAGGTGATGATCAGCTGTGATAAATATAAGATTCTGTGTCCGTATAGAAAAGAATCAGATGGACAGATACGAGACAGGGAAATATTGGCTTGACAGCAGTGCTTGTGAGAAGGATCAAGAAGTACTAATAGACCTGCAGCTGATTATGAGCAAGCAGTATGACAAAGTGTTAAAATGTTTATACTACCTTGGACTGAATAAACAGAAGCATTGCATCCAGGTGACAGAGGGTCATTGTTCCATTATATACTGTATTAGTTAGACCACATTTGGTGTATTGTCCCATTTCTGGGCATCTCACTCTAGAAGGGATATGAGAAGCTGGAACAGATTTAGAGAAGAGCTGCTAGGTTGCTGGAAACTGTCTGGTTGGGGCAATTAGGAGGAATTTCTTGCCAGTAAGAGCCATTAAGCATTAGAACAATCTGCCAAGAACAGTGAGGGACTGTGCTGTCTGGGAGCTGGATGGCCATGTGTTAGGGATGTTAAGTGGAATCTGGCACTAAGTAGGGGGGTTGCCTAGTTGACATAATGAAGTCCCTTCCTGTTCATACCTTCTATGTCTCTGTGACAAGTTGACAGCTTTGCCTCACTAGGCATGGTAGAATCATTCTCTCAGCCCAATTCACACGCAGGTTCACTGTACGTATAAAATGGGGAGAAACCCCCATATGTGGCACTGTGAGCTCCCAGAGAAAAAGTGGATTAGTGGTACCATACGTAATCATGTTTATTTAGCTCTTACTATGTTTTTGCTTGTTGCTGTTCTAAGGATGCAGTCCAATCATGGGGACACAGAGTCAACTGGCTTTTACTTTGATGTTTGACCAATAAATAAATAATCAGATATTGTGTTCGGTTGATCACTTCTTTCCAGTTGGCCCTTTCCAATGATAGGAATCCCCAACACTGGAAAGGTCTTTAAAGGGAATTATACTGAAAAGGAAAATGCTAAAGGAGCCTCAGTGTACATCACGCTCACAGGTGTGTCAGAAAATATAAGCAGCTCTTGAGCTGGTCTATCCTTTTCTTTTACCGCCCTCTGTAGCCACTAAGTGATCCTGTGAAAATTCATAGCTACTTTATACCTTGATGATGATGATGATGTCTTTTTTAAATAATTTTTATTAATGATTTTCACATAAGTAAAAGAAAAACATATAGGGTGAATTATATAGGGTGAAATTAAAGAAAAAGATAATTATATAGGGTGAAATTAAAAAAATAAAAGTAGAAAAGACTGCAGGTAGAAAAAAAGAAAAGATATATAAAGAAGCAGCTTCTGATCTTTAGAGCAGTTACAAACAATTCGTTATCTCTTGTCCTTCTTTCTCTTCTTCCCATATTCAACCCTTTTTAATCAGCAAATCCATAAATCACAAGATGATTTCTAATATTGTGATAGTGGATATCTCTGCTTCAAATTCCTTATTGAAAAATGTTTGTTCCTGATCAATTAGTACTAATTACTGTTTACTCAACTGGATATAGCTGGTTAATAATAGAACATATTCATTAAGTAAACATCAATTAGACCAGTTAAAATGTAAATTAGAGTCAATCCAATTTTGCTCCCGTTTGTGATTGTACCCCACCTGGTTTTTGAGAGAAAACACACTATAAAATCTTAAAGTAACTTTATTTTTAAAAAACAAGTGTTTCATTTACAAATGACAGTTGGATTAAATACACAGCACTAGTTATATGGCAAAAAGACAGCTCAGAAGGATTCTTGTTTCAAACTCCTGCAACCAACTCCTCCCCGCCCCGCCGCCCATACGTCAGTTACAGGTTATTCATTATATCCTGAATATGTTTTTAAAAACAGTACTTCAATTAAAAAAGAAAACCTGGAATTCATTTTCCATGATAATGATTATAAGTTCAGAAAATGATTTAATGCACTTAAGGATTTATGTTTGATACTGGGGTACTTAGGGTAGTTTCAGAAATGGGCAGCCTGCTAATCCCAATTTTAATTGCAAATATGGCTTGCATCCCTTACTGAAATGGGAGAATACTTCGTTTGAGGCCAAAAAAAAAAAAGTTCTTGATTTCAACTTGTATGTTTTGTTGGATAAATCTCTCCCTTTTACCCAACCTGGTGCCTTCCAGATATGCTGAATTCTCATTCATGCAGCTTCAAGAATATGGGGACTGGTCATCATGTAGAGAGAATACTAGGTTTGTAACTTGGTTACCGCCTACCCCAGATTTCCCAATCTGTCTGAAATGTGTCTTTTTAGCACTGGTTAATCATCTACATCTGTATCTTTTCATTACCATCAATTGTGTGATTGTGAAGAGTTGACAATGACTTGATGTCACATAATAGAATATCAAGGCTGGATCATGTAGCAAATAAGTAAAATAGAGGCTGAACTATAACTGTATTTAAAGTTACAGTTCACAGTATCAAGGTGTCAGCTATCAGTTCAGGATTTAAAGTATAAAAGCAAGCTACTTTTAGCTTGGGTGTCAAATTGGGTGAATTTTACTTGACCTTATATATATATATGCGTGTATGTGTATATCTATATAGATATCTAGATAGATATCTAGATATAGGCTTAGGAAACCTGGTTTTGTGGCTATATAATACTGCAATACATTAGGATTGCATTTTACAAGCATTTACCTAGAAGCAAGTTCCACTGAATTTAGTGGTGCCTTCTTTTGAGTAGACATGCACAGTATTGCATAGTATCATATTTACTGTGCATGCATCATCACATGAGGATTAACTGTCGATACCAACCATTTTGCAAGTACTGCATTAATGCATGCATTTTGATAGGATCAGAGAATTTAGGCAATGCAAAATTACAATTTCAAGTTGACTGATTTGAAGCCATATGAAAATAAACTTTACTGATGAATATGCTTCTTATTTCCTATACCTATTTTGTGCATCTAATTCTGTAATGAAATTAATTGGGATTGCATATGCTTATTAAAGAAAACTTGAAAGGTGCTCATTTTAAAAGAAGAAGTGATTTTAAATAAGATTATTTCATTCTGAAGGATATGATACTGAATTCAGTGTGAAATTGTACTACTGTACTTAGTATTATGAGAGCCAGTTTGGTACACTCTCTCTCAGCCTAGGAAGAAGGCAATGGCAAGTCACCTCTGAGAATGTTGCCAAGAAAACTGCAGACCCTTGTCCATGTAGCTTCCAGGAGTTGGGACTGACTTGAAGGCACCAAACAAGTCAATAGTTAGCTTACAAACTTCCCCCTAACCATGTTCTAACCATGTCAGAACAACACACTACTTCAATTTTAGTAGAAACCAAAGGCTAGAGTATAAACTAGATCTAATGGGAAAATTTGATATTAAAATGGCATTTAATGCGATAAAAACCATAGCAAACATTTTGTATCAGTTCTACAAAAATGCTCAACCCCAAGCTCCTTCACAGTACAATTAACTATGCTAACTACAGTGCAGTTAATAGGGTTTGAAAGGATGGATAAATATATAAAGCATAACATGGTTTATACATCCTGTTGGCAATAATTTGGGTATTGTTAACTCTGGTTTTAGCCTCCTGTCTTAAATGCAGCACTTTTGGATATATCCCCTGCTCTGTCAAGATAAAGTACACAACTTGAATCCATTCATTTTCAAAATGACAATTTTTAAAAAAAAGTTTCAAAAATTGGGTGAAAATGTTCTAATATTTATCTGAAGGAATTCAGATGTGCTTGTCCTGGATAATAAACTGAATTGTGCAGGCTATGTAGATAAAATCTTCAAATTTCAATGAGAATTATACTCACTTCTAATTCATGTAGGTTTATAACAAATGAGTAATTACAGACCTCTGAAAGCCATCCAAATTCTAGACATAAGAGAATATTAGCAAAATAATTCCCCAAATACCAAATCTTAGTAGCAGATTGATGTTTATTTGGTGGAAGTCAGTAGACATCGGTGCTTTATCTCTACTGGGATCAAAAAAGCAATATTTGGGGTAAGCTGTGCCCTAATTTGTGTTCTTAGATTAGGCTCTTGTGCTTCTTCTTTTCCTTCGGCCAGCATATACTGGTTCACCTGATGGAAATAGAATGAACAAAAGATATAACTTATAAAAATCCAAGATGGCGTTATTGCCCTGCCATGTAGAGGTGGCTCTGCTCTTAAAAACAATGATGACTAGATGAAGCATGTTGTGACATTATGTCACAAAACCACCCATTTGCATTTCCATCCTCACAGACCCAAGGATATAAGTCATGAGGTTTGGGTTGTGATGTCACAACATGTTTTGTCACTTGCCCCCCCCCCACAGATGCCTATGCTAATCTGATTTCACTCTTTCTGGGATCTAATATGTGCAGGACATTTGTAGTGCCTTAGTTATTGCCTATATTGTTGATCTCTGAAAGTGATGAAAGGAATTGCTCATACAAAATTAATTCAGAAGATTATAAATCTGAATTACGATTAAACTTTATGTTTAATGGGTTTACATTATGCTTCTTTTTCTGGATTTACCAACATCTGTAAAAGTCCCATCTAAGTTAGAGATCATATTAAGTACCTTTTTCACCTTTTGGCCCTCTTGGTCCTGGGCGGCCTGGTGGGCCCATTGGTCCAGTATCACCTGGAAGAATAAAGGAAAAAATTCAAGTACTATAACCAAACAATCTAGGGATATAAACTGGAATGTTTGCTAGCTATTTAAAAAGACCTTTGTTAAATCATTTAAATCAGGGTTCCTCAACCTCAGCAACTTTAAGATGGGTAGACTTCAATTCCCAAAAT